AATCCTAGATGCAGGCAGCATTACTTTCTATATTTTTAATAATAACATAATGTTCATTACATAGTCCTGTTGTTTGATTTTAGAATAATTTGTATCAATCACCAAATCTGAAAGGGATTTAAATCGCGTCTGTCCGCTGATGCGTGCAGCCCCATTGTGTTTAGTTTACGCAGACATGAATTCGTTTAATATCCATATTCCATTAATACAACTTTAAAATTAGCATTATATTAAATGATTGAACTAGATGATCTGCGTTTTTTTCTCTTCCGTTTGTATTCTATGATGCTGTAACGGCTGATCGGAACTAGATGAAATTTCGGATTAAGCATAAAATATCTGTTTCATTGCGAAAGCTACCACGCAGCCAAAACCACATAAAAGTTCTTCTCTCAGTACCTTATAATGCGTTAAATAAATAATGAAATCTTCACATAAAATAAGGTAAATTATTATTTTTTTAAAAAAAAATCGGTAGCAATTACATCAAGCGCGTCAAAGTAGGTCCGTGAGTGAAACAATCATAGTAATTGCCAATTTCATTATCTTTCTCGATATGCTAGAATTGATTTAATTTCTTTTCCATACTTCTGTATCCTGATAGTTTTTGCTCCAATTGCGCGATAGTCATTAATGGTAAGTTAGCGTCATACTTATTATCGCATGTAAACTATGTGAGTCGTTTTAAAATCCAAGTTTTATTACACCTTAGTTTAAAAATAACGCACACAACAAATGGGAAACATTTAAATCGATATCATTTCTATTCCCCTGTCGATAGATGTTATTGTACGACAGTAATAACAAAACCGAAAAGCTCATTAGAGCACTTTATACTATACAGCGTGTCGTTACCATCGCGACAATAAATGAACACACGTCTAATGCTACGTGCCAATAGTCAAAAAAAATATTAACGTTAAACAAAATCCATAGTTAAAAAGAAATATTTTTCAAACAAAGTAATTAAGTAAAAAGGAAACAAAATTTGTAACGTCCTATACAACTCGCATCACAGCGTCGTATTACAAGTCTCTCCTTCTAACAGTATGTTTTGTCTCTTTTAAATTCATTCAACCCATTCATATGCTTTGTGACCTTTACAAATGAACTTTACGTTACGCTTTTATAGGTAAGGGTGTTCTAAAATTCTTTGTTTTGGAAAATTTAATAACTCTGTAAATATTGATGTTTAAAGAATTCAAATGTTTAATATAACTTTAAAAAGTTATCCCCTATATGTGTGTTCATTTATTGTCGCGATGGTAACGACACGCTGTATATAGTACTTCTTTCCAACAAGTGACTCATATAATGGCAAGTGATACCTCGTTTTATATGAATAAATGTTTTTATCAAATACATTGCCGTTATAGCTCACTGTCCGGGCTCTCACTTAACTCAAGAAGAGAGCGTACTCATTCCTAAAAGGCCGGCAACGCATTTGTAAGCCCTCGGGTGTTGCAGATGTCCATGGGCGGCGGTGATCACTTACCATCAGGTGAGCCTCCTGCTCGTTTGCTGCTTTTTTCCCCATAAAAAAAAAAAAAGAATAACTCAATGTACTCGAGTAATCTGAGTTGAATCCCCAGTGCCGGCACCAATGAAATTGTTAACTTTAAGAGCTGACTTATCACGTGCTCACCGATGAAGTAAGAACATCGTGAGGAAACCTGCATATTTATATATGACAATAAAAATATTTTGAAGATATGTCAAGTCCGCAAAGCCGCAGCGGGGTGGACTGTGCCCTAATACGTTCCGTACAAAGGAGACCTTTGCGAAACAGTGAGACATTTGTAGGCTGTTATTTACATTATCACTACATAGTATAAAACAAAGTCGTTCCGCTGTGTTTCTGTCCCAATGTACGCTTAAATCTTTAAAACTACGCAACGGATCATTATGCGGTTTTTTTCACTAGATAAAGCGATTCAAGAGGAAGGTTTATATGTATAATACATTGCACCCGTGCAAAGCCGGGGCGGGACGCTACTCTAATCTATAAGAATCAGTACAACAAGATAAAAAAATGACCAAAAATAGAACTCAAGGCTCAAAAATTGATGCACTTATTACATTTTTAAAGTATTCTTCGAGATTTCACAAACTTTCTTGCTAATACATGATTTTCTGTTTTACGTAAAACTTTACAACTTGAACACCTGGAGAAAACGGTCAATACAATTGTTCCAATTGTTTACAAATTTGCGCACTCTCTTTGTTTCATCATTGAATTGTTAGGTTAACAAGGTTATGCAAATAAGTTGCGCTGAGAAACTCCGGAGGTTTCTAAACTAATCGTAATTTATTAATATTAGATTTGGATTTAGAGCGTCCAACTTCCATTGATAAATCACAATATTTTTATGATTTAAGCATTAATATAAGATTTGGATTAAGATGATCCAAGTTCCATTGATAGATCACAATATTTTTATGGTGTAAGATGTCTCTTCATTAAAATAACTGTGGACATTTTTTTAGTAAATTTGAATGTCTACATGTAATCTCTACTGTCAATCTACATGTTTTAAAATTTGAATATCCTTAGAAAAATTTTGGTATATTTAATATTGTTGAAACAGCTCCGTAGCAAATAGCTTGAAACGGTAATTTTTAATTATTATAGCCTGTAAGATAATCTTCATTGTCACAGTCATCTAAACCTAATTAACACTGGCGTGAATTATAAGTCATTTCATCTTACGCCACAATTTTCATGATTGACAAAATATGCTTGCTCCTTGTGCTATGTGCAATGGATGACGTTCCTTCCGCGATCTTTTAACATGAGGAACTCCCTGCTATCAAATGTCTTAAAAGAAAACAGTGAAGAAAAGTTGAAAGTACAATCTTCAAAATCGAAACCCTCCGCGTCATACCTGAAAATTTATCATCCATAACATAAAGGAAAATGTATACGCATATGAAGAAGTTAATCCCGAAGAGAAAAATATGAAGTTAATCCCGAGCTCTGCTATATTTCTTAAATAACGAATAAGTAAGCTCAAGCTGGGGTGTGAAACAGCAGCTTATTATCGACATCAAACCAATAACATTGAACAATTTTAATATGCCTTAATAATGTAAAAATAGCCGTGCTAAATTAGATAGCCGCTCATGCGGAACCTGTAGTAGAAAATGCTACTTTTTCCTCACAATACCTTGACAACATCCCAGACTGGACGAAAATTTTGATGTAAAGTGTATAATTCAATATGGTGTCTATTATTATTTTGTAATCATTACCATATCGAAATAAGTTTTAAGAGTTTATATAACTGTAAAATTATAAGTCCCTTCAAGTGCTGGTGCTCCAAAAGAATTTAAGTTATTCTTTATAGTTAATAAATGCTTTGAGATAATTTAAGAAAATGTTTTTTAAGCTACGATACTATTAAAGTTCTGGGAGATAAAATGATACGAAGCCTTTCATAGTCATACGTTTTAGAAAAACACGTTTCATAAAGTCTATTAACTATTCCCATTCAAAATTTTCTTGCAATAAATTACAGAGCCGTAATGGGTAATCAAACGTTAACAGTATAGTTCTAAGATGTGACAACATCTCGCCTTGACAATGAATAATTCATTTCCACCGCAAATAATTTGTTTCGCAAGGATTAGTTAGGTAAATGCAAATAGAGTCAAATGGACAATAAACGCGGTAGTTAGGGAATTGAAAATGCTGTAATCGTCAAGCATTGCAGTTATTAAGTCTCCAAATGTTGCATTGTTTTGTTTAATAATTGCTAAGGCAGAAGGAACACATACATATATGTATATACGCACATAACATACATGCATATAATATTATAACTAGTCGTTACTAACTAGCAGATCATTTCTATTACGCGAGGTTTGTTTTTTTACGAAAAGGCAATTTTATACCCAAACTGGCAATAGGTACTGTGGCAGGGCCATGCAACAGATTCGGCTGTGGCACGAATGGGCAGGTTGGGGGCATTGGTCATCACTAAACATCAGTTGAAACGCTAGCGCGCTCGTCACCTTTAAAAAAATGCCTCCCATAAAAAAATGTGTCCGTCCCGAACGTAGCTATGGTTGACCCAAGCTTGACGAAATATCGCTAGATTCGTCATTACCGCGCTATTGATATTTAGTAAATTAATTATGGAAATCACCGGTTATTGGCGCCAAATTAAAGTTTTTAAGAAATTGTTTTCTTATTTTAATTTAAGTGTGCGGGAAGTCGATGGATGCAGGTGGCAGTCTGTGGGGGAAGCCTATGTTCAGCAGTGTACTCTAACAGGCTGAAATTATGATGACGATTGTGATTTCTTACCACATTCAGGTTTTTCAGTTGTTTTATAATTATTGATTTTGTACACACAGTTTTAGTATTCGCAAACTGTATTATTTACAAAGAACTGTGTAGTGGCTGAAGATATCGGAGATTTACGGTTGTACTATCCTTCTAGAGGCAAATTTCGAACATTAATAATTTTATCCGACGACAATTCAGAGAAATAAAAACAATTAGTTGATTCCAAGGATTGTTTACACAATCCAGTAGTGTTTAACACTCGAACTCTAATTTCTAATAAAAACAATCGTTTAAAATAGCTGAATTGTATATATTTTATTTGGAATAATTTGCAATGTCTTTACATTCCTTTAAACGTAATGTCAAGTGCAAATAATAAAACTCTTTACCGCTTCGATTACCGCCAGCGTAATTTTCTACGATGACATACATATTTAAGTGTTCTTGAAATTTGAATTATGATCAATCGCTAAGCAATTATTTCCTTTTGAATCTGTTTCAAAGTATCTGTTATTTTTTTGCATTAAACTACTTTTTATTTCATTGTTTTTTTTTTTTTAGTTATTGATAAAAACGTAACCGATTTTTTAAATTTGTAATTATTTTTTAATTTAATGAAAAAATTACGTCATATTTAATATCATACATTTTTTATAACTAGGCATTAATAAGTATGTAATCATATATTTTTTTAATTCATAAAACATACCAGGTTTATTCGCGGTCTGCGCCTCGGGAACGTCACTGACACCCATTATTTTTAATTAAAAAATAATATATATATATCGAAAATATAGAGTCACTTCGAAATGGTCAATCGGTCGAGTCGAGCGCGGTTCACAGATTTCGGTCACTCGAAATGTGCACTAATGAAACTTTAATTCGTGGACGGCTAATTGTCAATTCAACTTATATATCTTCAAGGGCAGCGCCTTGGGGGCCGAGCAGGAAGCGAACAGAGTGCCGCACGCCAATGCGCGCGCGCTCGCTTCACAACTCATTATATATCTGTCCACTTGGACATTTCGTACCCCGGCGCACCTGCTGACGACTGTACTTAGGCCGGGCACGGCATTCTTGCCCTAAATTCAATGGACAATAGAAATCAAAGTTGCACTTTGCAGTTTTTCCTCAATTCAGAGCCTTTTTAACGAGCGCTCTCCGCCGCGAGTTTGTATCTCGATCGGCTGTAGGTGATTCTCGCTCTTATTCCTAGTACTTTTTGGGTCGATATTTGTAGCGGAGGCGCGGCGAACTTTTGCGGTGCATTGTGCGCCAGGTTTGTTTACATCCGATCGGATATATCGCTGGCCGATAGCATTGAGTGTTATGGATCGATCCGTTGAGTTCCGCACCGACACGGCAGCGGCAAATCCATCGAATATATAATATGAAAAGCAACTTTTGATGTTATGATCACTAAATAGTATAAAAGTCGTCCCGCTGTCTGTCTGTCCCTATGTATGCTTAGATATCTAAAACTACGCAGCGGATCTTGATGCGGTTTTTTTTACTAGATAGAGTGATTCAAGAAGAAGGTTTATTGCACCCGCGCGAAGCCGGGGCGGGTCGCTAGTTTTAAATAAAACCAACTATGTGCCTACACCAACTGTTGTATAGACAGTCTGGCAATGGTTACATTTAAATTTTGCTTTGTAAGCTAAAATAAAAAAGCCAATGAAGACTGACCTAAATGCCGGCAAAAAACGGCAAGTTTTTTTTGAAGATTAAGCAATTTTTTATTTTCAGGCCCTTGGGTACTAAATGATTATTAGATTATAGACATTTTAAATAAATATTTCAATAAAAACTTTTAATAAATAGGTATGTTCTAAAATAATTCAATGCTTAAATTGCATACACGCCAGCAATTTGACATCTAATTACATTTAGGATCAAACAGTTCCCTATAACAAGCCTTCATCCGGTATGTTGTGACTGGTGGTATTTGCTCCGATACAATTACCTACCTCCTATCGATTTTTGCACGTACGTAGTTTGAAAACTGAGAAATGGGTTAGTGGTGTTTACTACAGATATTCAAACCAGAAACCTTCCTATTTAAAGTCCGACGTCACCACTAGCATCGTGCCACTAGATTACCGTCAAACCCGACAGTTCTAAGATCCATTATGATTTGTTTATTTTTAGTCTGCATTCAAAAATGTAATTAAAATAAAATAAAAATCAATCATACATTTTACCAGCAATGGCAACACCACGCGTTCAATACTCTTTACAAAATTATATTTTAAGCTATCTGCTTCATGAAATTTAAACATGTATAATGCTTATCACTGCACTTATGAATTTCGTCATTAAATTTTGTAGAAAATAGGAAGAAAAGTTTTTTTGGCGCTGCGGGAATCGAACCCACGTCTTCCGGTTTCGGGCCCAAACGCTTTAGCTACCAAGCTAATGGGCTGATTGCCCCACCGACGATAATCTGAACTTCTATTATCTACATTACTTTTTCGCATTTCAAGCAAACGCTTGCCACATCTGTTGATTTATCAATCCCTTACAGCATACAAATAATTTCGAATATTATTTTACATCGATTATTCGAACGCAAGAAATCGCCATTGCTATATGAAATTTAAATATCTATAGTGCTAATTTCTGCACTTAAAGTGAAATATTAAAAGTTATAGACAAAAGGGCAGAATATTTTTACAAATTTCAATATCCACATCGTTCAAAGATATTTAATAGGTGGCGCCAGGCGTTACAACAAAACAGACTTTAAATATCTCGCCCTGTATTCGATTTATAATTGATTTTCAGGTGTTCCCTGAAGTATCTGCGGATCCCAAGATCCAACCAATACCAATGAAATCAATATGGGGCAATATGGGAGCTAAACCAAACCCTGAACAAATAATAAATTTCAAAATTGGTTCATAAATGAAGGGCGTAGTTCTCAGGTAACAAACATAAAAAAACACAAAAGAATTGAGTTTAAAAAGAAATTAAAAACATCTTTAGTAACAAGAACCTCAGTGCGAGTCGGACTTGTGCACTAAGGGTTCCGTACCTTTATTTATTTTTTATTCCGTTTTTTAGTATTTTTTGTTATAGCAGAAAGACGCGGCCCACCGGTTTTTAATAGTATTGGATAGGCTTCTTAAGAACGCCTGCCTAACGTCAAAGCATCTTTGGAAACAAAACCCCAGAACCGCGACAATAATTATCTGTCGGTCACACAAAAATTCGTACCGTATGAAAATCGACCCCACGACCCCCGACGCTATAATATTGTTTATTTAAATAATAATTAAAAATAATATTGCTTATTCTGTTTTTAGTACTATTTGTTTTTATAGTGGCAACAGAAATACACCATCTGTGAAAATTTTAACTGTCACGGCTCATGAGATACAGCCAGGTGACAGTCGGACAGACAATGCAGTCTTAGTAATAGAGTCCCGTTTTGCTCTTTGGGTACGGAACCCTAAAAACTGCCAGAAACAAATTTTGAACAGAATAAATTTTTGTTTACTCCGTAAATACTTCTACCTAGATTGGATAGAATTTGTCCCGTACTGCAAAGTATGGCCTTGCGACATAGACTTTATAAGCTCGAGAGGTAATTGTAATTTTTATAAGTAACGTTAATTAGGTTTCCGTTAAACTATTTTATATTTTGCATGACATTTTATTTTAATACACCTCAATTAATCTATGATATCAAACTCGTAATATATCTTTATTCTTTTATATCACTGTGTTTATATATCCTAGGCAGTCAATGAAGAAATTTTGAGTCCCTTTTGTGTTCTCATGCGTAAGGCAATGTTAGTATTAAAATCTAGCTATGTTGGTGGGCTTCGATTTCATAAGTTATGGGATCCCAAGCTGATGATGAACCCCAACCATCTTCTCTATTTAAATTAGGATGTCTATTTATTTCAATAGCCACGCGGATCGTCCTTGGAAGGAATAATTTATCATCAGCTGCGGTCCCATAATTTATAAAATTAGTTAATAAGATAAAGTGAAAACTGCAACGAGGAAAACCAACAGACGATGCCATAAATGTTACTTAAGATTAGTTGATATCTGACAGTTAAATAGGTAGAATTTGTTTATAACTATTGAATACGCATTTAGACCGTAAAATCATCGTGTCCATACTTAGAAGAGCTGATATAAAATATATGAGTATAAACAATACCTTGAAATTTAATTATAATTTTGCCAACTGAAACAAATTAAAAGGCCTGGTTAAAAATGCTTAAAGGTATAGCATATGTAGTAAGGATATAGCAATGTATTATTCGTTACTAACCCTGAAATTTATAATGGACCATTGATTTGGAATGGACTTTTAATTAACATATTCCATTGCATCGAGCAACTAGAAAGTCACTCTGCTATAAACGATAACTAGTTTATACTGTTTGCCTCCAAATTACGAGACCACTTAACAGTTTTGATTTTCGACCTTTCTCAAACTTTATCTTGTTTTACTTTCCCCTCCTTGAATTTTCTGACACGTTTTTTAAATGTGAATAAATATTTATATTGGCATTTTTATAATGAAACAACACTAAAAATATATTTGTGTTCGATTCAGCATTATGCAGCGGCGACTTAGCTATTATTTTTTGAAAGGCGCGTCGCAAATTTACTCGAATTTGGTACGGTTTTGTAATTGAATGTTGTTATATATGTTATTATACTATTTTTTGTGCAAAAATCTTACGAGTACTGCATAACGACATAATTTTTTTGCCTTTTTAATTTAAATTAACTTTAAAATTTCGTGTTCTAACTCTGTACAAATGTATAACCTGAAGACTGTTTTTCCTCCTGGATCATTAAAGTGAGTAGTATTCTAGATTGTAATAAAATTTCTAATAAAAGTCACAAACTAGCAGTAACTTTAATGGTAATACAATGAACACTTCATTGCGGAAGTACGCAGTTATAATATTATCATCTAAAATATGAAGTCCCAACATTAATATGACTTGAGATGAAACCGGAAGCGGTAACACGTCAATAGTATGGTTGTTGTTTAAACCCCATTGTTTACGGTTGCGTATACGGACTCTCGTTTTCCTACTAGTGTTCGCAATTCTAATGCTCAGGGAAAATCTAACCGAAAACACTTCAGTAGGAAAATCATCTAAAATCTAAAGTGTGCTCAGGTGCTATATTGAATGCTAAGGCCGCTGTTGTTGACGTCATCAAATTTAGGACGTGCGCAGTTAAACGTAGTCTGTATTATTTCCTTATTAATTTAAAACAGTCTTCGCGGTTGCACGAATGGGCAGTTCCGTCCGGGTAAGTGCCACCACCTAACAGAAGATGGCGTGAAGTGGACATGTTCGACTTCTGCGTTTCGTCTGTGTGTGAGGTAGCCGGGGTTCACTCTATTAAAAGGCAACACATATGCAACCCCATAAAAGTAAAGTAACAGTCTATACATGTCCCACTGCAGGGCAAAGGCCTCCTCTATATAGAGGATATCAGGTCATAGTCCACCACGCGGCCCCACTGCGGATTGGCGGACTTCACATATCTTCGAAATTTTTTTTTTTGTTATTATTTCGAAAATATGCAGGTTTCCTCACGATGTTTTCCTTCACCGCGGAGCACGTGATAAGTCAGCACTTAAAATTAAAAACTTCAAAGGTGCCGGCACTGGGGATCGAACTCAGGTTGCTCGAGTATATTGAATTAAAGGCGAGCACCCGGACACTGAGATATCACGGCTCTTAGGTCCCCCAGGCAACCCCATAGGTGT